TTTAACTTTAGCTAAATTTGATCCACATTCTTCAATAATGCCTCATACATCTCAGGTTTCAAGCCATCACTGAAGGCTTCTATATTGTCTTGGCAGGAAGCAGATGGACACAGTGGACACGCTGGTCGTCACTGATTATACATACATGCCTTCACCAATATCTAAGCTGTCCTCTGTCCAAGCCTTTTTCCACAGTTGGTCTCCTTCATAGATAAGTCTCTCACCTTTCTTCATCTGCCTGTCCTGCTATCTACTGGGAGCTCAGTGGTTTATGGGAACTGTGTGTTGGAGATGCAGTGTTGGCAGAGTGGGTGATAACCTGTGTCAGTTACTGCCAACAGCATCCAGTAGACCAGTGGATTTGTCTAGTGTCAGTGTCACCTTGGCTGCTAAATGTCCCACTGTACGGTTCATCACTGCTCAGAGGTGTCATTTGGAAATGTGTGACCCTACATTTGTGTACTCCAGGTGTCAGCGTGGAAAAATATATCTCTGGCTCTGTCTGTGTGATTCATGGGAGAAAATACTTTGTAAAATATATACACATATATTAAGGCATTTATGATTCTTTTTCTGGACAATTTCCTGATTTAAAACTGTAGTGTAGGCTCCATGGAAGCCATTATTAGTAGATTTTTTTGAAAATTAATTCATTATAACTGAACCTAGAGATTCATTCAGACTGTACATCTATGATGGTTAGAACTTGAACTGACAACGTTTGGTTGATGGTTAGTTGTTCACATTTTTGCATATTATATAGTTGCAGAGTGGGAAAGAAATATCAGGTTTTGATTCATTTCTATTAACCCCTAGGACTACCATGTCTAACTTTAATTTAATGTTTACCAGAATAAGGTTTAGATCGTTATCCTCCCAAAGAACATGAATCCTGGGATTAGGCCAACAAGTAACTAAGTCTTTTTTTTTTTTGAGTTTGTGAATGAAAATCCTTTATCAAGACTGGACTAATTTAAACAAACTGACTTTCTTGGTGTAAATCCAGTAGCCCCATACACATTTTTTACAGAAAATAAAATTCTACTCATACATGTATGTATGTATGTATATATATATATATATAGTATATGTGCATGTATGTGTGTCTGTGTACTGTACATATATTGGCTTCAAAGTTATAAACTGTAGAAGTTTTTCAGCTTGTTTTACAAAGTTACATTTTTAAGATAACATAATTGTCACGTTAAGATAAAAATAAAGTCCACACATGACAGTATTCTCAGTGGACACTCAGAGGAGGTCACGTTTACACCACACTTGGTCTATACATAGAGTGCTTCTGTATCTTGGCTGTAACTCCATTCCATGGTTACATCATGTCAGACAGTTCTTGGTTCAGTGGATTACATGAGGACTCTTTAACTGTCAATAACACAGAAGAACAGTGTTTGTCAACCTCAGGGCCACAACACCACTTGGGGTCACCTGAGATTCAAATGGGGTCACCAAAAATGTCTAGTAATTGATAGAAAAAATTACTGATAATTTTTTCAACTAATTATTATTGTTTTTAAAATTCTGAATGGAGTTCAAATAAAACGCTGCATATAAAAGTGTCGGTGGTAACAAATGAGTAATTTTCTCTGAATGTGTGCGTGGTAATGGCGTCTGAAGACATGCAGGGTTAGATTACTGGTTTTCTCTGCATTGACTATGTGTACGAGGTGTGATGAACTGGTGTAATTCCTCTTCTCATGCTGACTGTTGGCATTTACACAACTCACCTCAGTGACCATGAAAAAGATGGAGTGGTTTAGGTTGTGAAGTCAAAATGGAAGCCAAAAAAGATTTTCCATGGTGTGGTGGTTAGGGCGCTTGCCTCACAAACAAGGGAGTGCCAAGTTAAATTCCCAGAGAAATCACATACAAAGACTCACTGTAAATTTACTTATTGTGGACATAAAGGACTCCATTATTATTATAACAAAATGACACAAAGTCAGCCAATCAATAAGATTAACTCAAAGACTATGAGAAGTTAGCAATTATACTGAAGATGAGCCTTGAAATAAAGAAGTAAAAACTGAGCCAAGTTAAATAAATGAAAATGATGAGTGGGTGTGTGTTTAGTTTCAGTTAATAAAGATATCAAAGCTTCAGAGAGTTGCTGCTAAGATGTCTCTCGGTGAACTCCATTGCCCTGCCTCCATTACTGTACACTTGTCAATATCTCTGGCAGTAATCCAACATGTTCCCCCTCTTTTGTCTGGCTCCCTTGATTACTTGCTCTCAGCTTGTTCCAGCTCCAGCCGATCTCAGGGATCAGAAGTCAGCGTTGCTGTGGCAACCCTGTCCAACCTGCCCCCGACCTGTCAGGGGTATATCTCCCCTGGCTTGTGTAACTCCAGCCTCCCTCCATGCCCACACACTGTACAGTTGAGGACAAAATCACAATCCCTAAAAAAAAAAAACTTTGTAAAGTATTTCTCAAGTCCTTCCTAAAGAAATAATAATCCAAAAAACACAGACAATATTGCTTTATAAATCTCAAACATTCGTTTGTCTAAATGATAGCACATCTAAAAGGTCCATTTCTAGCGTGAGCTCCTTTGGTCTTGGTCTAAAGGGTTAAAATAACAGATCTGTAATTATTTCCTACACTATAAATGACCATTACTGTGAACACTCACAGAATCAACCGTCTCATTTCTGAACAGAAGGTTGCGTATGACGAATGGGGAAGTCACTCACTGGTCAATACCCTGCACTGACTTATGGCCCTTGACACTAGAGAGATGACTGACGAAAACTGCTGCATTTAGCACAACGACAGCAATGCAGCAATGGAACCAGGTCTGAACATCGTTTCTATCATAACCCTAAACCCACTACCCATGAGCAGAGAAGTGATATATTTACGTTTTGCAGTTAAGATCTTGTTTTCATGTACATTTTTTGCATTATCTTTACCCCTGTCCCTTGTTGCTGTAATACAAAAATTACCCCAGTGTGGGATTAATAAATACATTATCCTAGGATGCCTTTTGTAACTGTTTGGCATTTTTGGCAACCTCAAAATTATTATTTTTAATTAAAGTCAAGTTAAAGTAATTTATATATATCTTTATCAAAGTTGAGATAAAACAAATACAAACAAAAACAGCTAAATTATTATTATTTTTACTATTATTAGTGACAGAGAACAGGGCAATATGGAAATCAATGATTTGCTGTGGCAACCCCTGAAAAAAGGGACAAAGCCGAAAGAAAAAGAAGAAGAAGTGACATCATCTGACCTGATGTGGGGAGTTCACTTTTCTTATCTCTTTCTTGTCTAACAGCAACTACATAAACAAATTCAAATTCATCCATACGTTATTTTATCTTGTATTTCCTATTAATTGTTAATTATGATAATCCTCTTTTACGTGCATGGTGAAAACCCAAACCAGGGAGAAAAAGGTGAACTCCTCTATACAAGTACAGTGTCAGACAAAGACTTTCAGTCATTCCTAAATTTATTTTTGAGTTTGTATTGCCCTCTGTTGGCAATTTTTACACATTGACCTAAACACCTGCAGCGCCCCCATCGGTAGACGGGAGTATTGTTATTCACCACCTGGTCGGGTAGTCATAATAAGGGCTTGAAACCTGTGACCTGTGACCTGTGATCACCAACAGAACAAACACAAACACCAACACACCAACAACCGCTGAAACCGGAAATAGAAGACCCCTAATTTTACTTAACACGAAAACATCCAGACAGGAAGTACTAGGGAACTAAACTTTCAGTGTAAGAGCACAAGTTGTTCTTATACTTTAACACTGTCCCACTCTTTGTGTCAACGCGTTTTAAGACATTGTTACAAAACTCCACTAACCCATATTTCATGCAAAACAATTATTACGAAACAATTCGTATAAAACAAATGAATTAAAATTTCAAATAAGTGCAATTTTCTCACTGACAACACCACCTTTGTTGCACCTCATTTGCAGCAGCTAAGCTACCCTAAATGGTTTAAACTGTGAAAACTAATGTAATAGCTCAAATGTCAAACCTAGTATAATATGCTTAACCAAGAATTATGGATAAAATAAAGCAGGAATTAAAGCAAAATAGCGACGATGTAGCCTTGAAAATGTAGCCTTAAAATGTAGAGAATGTGAATTAGAAATTTGACCATAACGAGATAAAAATTTGCCTAAATGAATTAGAATGTGTCCGAACAGATTAATCCTTAAAAACTAAAATGAAATTGGAACTACATCTCCTGAAACTATTGTTCCTTTGACATCAACGGTGACAGTACCATGATGTCACTATGTCTGTCCATGTCTTTTAACCTCATATGTCCTACAGGTGTACTGACATTGATACTCCAAGGCTTTGTCTGAGTGAACAGTGGGTTAAAGATTTAGCTTCACTCCATCCCACTTTCTTACGCCTCTGTTTTTCTGTCTGGCTCTGTGAAAGAAGAACCCAAGCTCCCCTGTCAATCAGACCTCACTTACCACCAGTGTGAGGTGTTGAAGGACAGTCAGTCTGGAGACAGCTCTGTGTCTGAAGGTGAAAGGAAATCAAACCCTCCTTCAAACTGGTCTGGTGATGTTAGGTAAAGGTTCATGGAAACTTGGAGTTAATGTAACTCCAGCCATCCCAGTCACTGAGCTATGGACCAGTTCAAGGCTAATTGGACCTAACGCTCTTACACAAACAGTATTGGGTTTATATATGAACTTATACTTTAGTTTATCACAACCCATACATCCACCTCAAACGTACACTGTTTGGGCTAACGGACTAATATGGTGAGGACCAAGGATAGAGACCTCTACTGTGGACTTTACTGTCTCCAGCATGTGTTCCACTCACGTTCATTTTTTATGCTCTCAGACACTTTGTAGAAAATGAAATTGAACAGAATGCAGATTGAGATGCAAGATGAGACTCTCTCTTTTTTTTTCATGCCTGTTTGAACCGCAGGGTGGAAACAACTGAGTGGGAGAAAAGGTCCAGAACTGGGGGAAGTTACCTTGATGCTGGCTTTGGAGGTTGGCTTTGGAGGTTGACAAGACTCTGTCCTCAGGGAGTTGCTGCTCTTCAGGGCTTTTCCTTGGCTTGATAGGCCTTCCTGTCCACGAACCCTGTCCTTGACTGTGCATCTCTGGCCCTGTGCTCCCAGGACCCCAGCTGTGCAGAGTAGTATCCCATATCCAAACACAGGTCCTGTGGGTGGTCCATACAACATGTGATCTTTGGGCCCTCCTTTTTATTGGACCCTGGTGTTGGAGCTGTACCTGTTGCAGTAGAAACATCAGTCATAGGTATGATAGTCATCTGGCACTGTCATTCTAGTAGCATCTGAATCTAGTCTATTTATGATAATGGTAATCATAAGAATGTAGAACTAGATAAAATATTAAAGAAAAGGCTCTAGTAAATGAAACATTCCTCGGCACTGACCGACTGTAATCCCTGAAACGACCAAAGGGTGGAGCACTAACACCACAATGAATTAACCACTCGCATTCAATGGCTAGTTTTCTCTTCAGCTATATACTGTATGGAATTAAGTAATTCAAGCGAACACACCCTTAGTTACAGGCCAACTTTATATAAATACAACAATTATACAGTTATAAGAGTAATATAAATACATTTAAAACACATTTTACACCCAGTATTTGAAAACTGCTGAAGGCGGTGTGGGGTTTGAGGGTAAACAAGAGGTAGAATTGTATAGAACGTTGGGAGTTACTTTGAATTTAGTCGCAGGTTTTAGTCAAATTTGTAATTCAGTATAAGCTACCTCACATTTCAGAGTTCTTTTTACTGGAACTAAGCTCTCTGCGCACTGAGCTCATCTGTAGCGACTGAAAGTTAGCGACATCTTCGCACTATGCGCCCCGCTGCGTCAGTTTACGTAGCCTACCGCTTTTGGCTGAGTTGCTGTCGTTCCCAAAAACTTCCGTGTTCTTATAATACAGCTGACAGTTGACTGTGGAATATTTAGGTATATATGGAATATCACAGTTCCACGCTGGAATTCCCGGAGCTCCTGAGAGCGACCCACTCTTTCACAAATGTTTAGAAAAACAGTCTGCATGCCCAGGGGTTTGATTCGATACACCTGTGGCCATGGAAGTGATTGGAACACCTGATTCCGATTATTTGGACGGGTGAGCGAATACTTTTGGCAATATAGTGTGTGATGCCACAAGACCCAGCAGATGGCAGTGTTGGAGCATAAATGAGGAGAAACAAACCCACAGCTTTTAAGTCTGTCGAAATATATTTTAAAAAGGTATTCAATTTAATTCAGTAGTTTTCGCAGTTTTTTTCTTTAGTTTTTTTATTATTGTTGTTAATACTACTACTACTAAGTAGTATTAACAACAACAATAATAAAACGTGTTTGATGACATTTCGTTACTGTCTCTGTCAAGCCTGGCTAATTCAGTTTATTCTTTCTCAATCGGTCCTGCAGGGGGAAAGGTTTTTGTTACTTCGTGTTTTATCGAGTTGTCGATGACGCTCAGAAAACAACACACGTCGCAGCAACAACCTATTCTGCTCCAGTTGCCCTGTCTCTATTCTGTAAAACACTACAAAAACAACACAAAAGGAAGCCTAGACATAACAAACCCCCCCTGAAGAATCTCCGGACAAAACCTTCTGTAAGGCAAATAAAAAACCTATAAACAAACTAACTAAAACAAACAAAAGGAAGGAAGGAGAAAGTGGTCAGCAAATACCAGTTATTCCTAGACTGGCCAAAAATTAAGAGATAAATGTAAAAAATGTTACTACAACTGAGCCATAATCCAGCAAAGCAATTATCAAAACATGATTATTGAACATGATACTTGAAAATATCTTTGTGGATGTGTAAGTGATTCCACATATATTTATAAAATATTTATAAAACAACAATTTAAGATACAACAAAACCTAAAAAATATATGTTAGTTAGTTTTTAGAAAAACAAAACAAAAACAAAGCAAAACAAAAAATATAAGGCTACTGATAGAGGATACATGTCGGTGATGGATAGATAGATAGATAGATAGATGTATATGTATATATACACCATTTATATATACAGATGCGGTTATTTTATAAATATGTATTATATTATATTTTATATATCAACGAATATGTATGTGCATCTGCATATGGATGTGTATGTGTGTTAACATGAATGTGGGAGCCAGAGCTTTAAGGTATGTGTGTTGTCTCCTGCAGGGCGTGGGAGTGAAGCAGAAAGGAAGTGAAGCTAACTGAATCAATATCATGTGAATTATTAAGAGCTTCACACACACTGGATCTGAGGCTTTGATTCACTCCCTCACTCCCTCCTCATGTTTCCTCTCCACCGTCCTCCTTTTCTGTAAGTTTCCAGATGTACATTGACACATGCTACATCTCTCTCTCTCTGTGTGTGTGTGTACACATGCAGCTCACCCTTATTGGAGTGCTCATTAGTCAGTGCAGTGATGCAGAGTAGCCCTGTCATTAGCTAAGACTTCTGTGTCCTCCACTTCTGTTCATCTCTTTCACTCTACCTCCTACGTGTCCTCATCTATCATGGGTTGGTCTTCATTTCCACATGTGTAGTCTACATAACAAGTCCTGCTCTAATCTCAGTCTCTGTAAGGCTTTGCGCACCCTCCGCTTTAGACCAGCCCACCATCTGATAGTTAGAGGCCCCGTGTGAACTAGTGTCATGAAATATTTCATCATTGTGTCTACGTCTCTACTATCATCTGGATCCAAATCCACTGGCTGCCACCTTCAGCTGCCCCTAATGTTGTCTTGATAACCAAGGCTCCCCCATGGAGCCCAGGTTTTTTGACTAGAACATCTGTCTCACACCTGCTTTATCTCAGCATACCACAGTCCTTACCTGCATTGTCTTTATCAGTGGCATCATCCAAAGGTGCTGTTACCTCTACAGCTGAGATAGTTACTGTAGTAGAGTGTAAACCCCAGTACAAACTCTGGTCTTAGGGAGGTGTATAATTCTGATGGTGTTGTAAGTAATTGACCCATGTCATCCAGCTTTCATTTGTCCACTTCCTGTCAACATTTTTGTGCAAAAAAATCCATTTGCTTCAGTGGACTCTAAATGACAAAATTAAACCACGATGAGTGAGTTTAATTTATGAATATGCGATTGATTAAATGAGCTGCAACGCTGCCATCTAGTGACCTTTGCTTTACAAACTGCTATAAAAACTATTTTTAGGTCACACATTATTTGGCAAAACCCAGGCATTGCGTTAACGGGTTTTCATTATTGGAGGAAAAAAACAATAATGATTCTTACAGATATTACATAATATGCTAACATTTGGCCGATAATATCGGTCGGGCGATATTATTACCCTAGTTAGAATTTAGTAGAGCAGGAAATGACTATCAAAATGAACACTGTCTTCACCTTGGGCTTCATTACTCTTAGCATATGCTTCAAAAAAGGTTTTAGTCACACCAGCTGATGGTTCCACAGGAGAGGAGCCTGGTTACTAAAGGCTCTGTCTCACATTATTTTCCCTTTAGATTCTGAATCACAGGTAAGACAATGAAGGCTCTCAGTCAGTCAGGTCATTTTATCCATGCACTGAAGTAGAGGTGAAGTAGAGTAGATGTGATCACCATGGTCAAGGTGTGAAGCTTCCATTCATACCGTGATGGTGGTGAACACAGCTTTCCTGCCATAGTGTCAGGAAGTGGTCGCCTCCTTTGTTTTGCAATAACAACTCTTTTTTCAGGTATTCAGCCTCTGTGAGGCTAAACACCAAACATTTCCAGTGGTCAGTCAGAACTAAAGAATCCTAGTGAACATTTCAAGGAACCAAGACGGTCCAGTTACCTTCTACTTAACTGTTTCCGACAGGTAGGCCTGTATTTTCTAAATGAAGTGATTTATTACATCGGTACGGCTTAATCAAGGTACAATTTGTTGCTAACACACTGTTTATGCTTCTGGAAGAGAGAAGACTATCCCTTGGGTCAGTAGGGGTCCCCGCAGCACTAGTCCACCCTATGATTTGGCACATGTAGCTACACTTGTCACCACCACCCTCCTTTACTAGCTTTGACATACTGTACCTTTTTTTTTTTAACTTTAACTACTCTTAATCTGTACCAGCTTTGACATACTGTACCTTTTTTTTTTTAACTTTAACTACTCTTAATCTTGTTTGTGCCTCATAACTTTTTGGACAAATAAAATTTTGCTCTAATGTCAGGTGTTTTTTCTGCCATATAAAAACTCAACTCAACACACTGAGCTGGAGTTTGCATCTCGCATCAACAATGCAATTAATGGACACAATGATGATAGCAGCGGGAGGACAATCCTCTTTGCTCATCACGCATTCGGCGCTGCATGCCATTACAAATGACCAAACACTCCACATAATAGCGCATCATTTAGCCAATGTCCTTCGCTGGCTGGGCTCCCCACACACACACACTCCACCGCTGGCCATCAAAATCTTTCTGTGATGGAGCACATTAATTACACCCATCCAGAGACAGCTATGATTACAATTTCACACGTTTGAATGGACTACAGCCATTTGCGACAAAGCTGCACACAGGCAGAGTGATGACTTTGGTGGTGGGGGTGGAGGAGTGGGGGGGTGGGCCGTGCGGTAATTCTCAGGAGAAGTGCAGATGCAGGAGATGTGGACGCATGGATGCTGACAGCTCTGGCGTTTAAAGCAATGTGCTGTAATTGCATGCAAATGGACCTGAATGTGTATCCTAACACATCTTCATTAGCCCAGTTCACCAGTGTCTGCGGCTTAGATGAAGGGGGACAATGGAATGGAATGAAGTTAATTCTACGTAGACTGGTTCTGTTTTCATATTCGACAACTTTAATTAAGCGATAGATTAGGTTTTGAGAGACTCCGTGCATGTTTATTGCGCTGGATCCCATGAGCGCTCCAATAAACCGCAGAGTGGAATCACTCAGTGACGACCTAATGGAGCTGAAAACAGACATAGGCATTGCTATTTCCATTGTCTTAGATCCATACATTTCAATCAATCTTAAAAAAAAATCTATGCATTTCAATCTGCTGTCTCTGCCTTGTGTCTTGTGTAGCTCCTATTATTGTAAAGACAACTTGTACTTGCACAAGTTCATTAAGGTACTTAGCTCCGCTAAGTTCTAAGTAAGAACTTAACTTGTCAACTTACAGTTAATTAAAGCTCTAGTAGATGCGTTAGCTCAGAGACTACTTAACTATCTGGGTCTTTTCTCCAGTTCATCACAGCTGGAAGTTTTTAAAGCTTGGAGTTTCCAGAATTGGCGTCAGATTTGATGATATATATAAATCATTAAAAATGTCATGCAAAGTTAAGTTGAGCATTTGACTTAGCTATCAGATCTGATGGGCTACAGTTTTTTTAGTGCTTCTATGTGTTTCCTGTAATGTCAAACAATAAATTAATAAGACCAATACTGATCCTTATCAGTTACATCAGCTACAAGTTACATTTTTCCTATTTTTTTTAACCCTATACATATGCCATACAGTTTGTGTCCATTTGGTGTGTAATGATCACAGATAGAGAGAAGGCATGTGGCAGCATTCACTACCTGGGCTGCAGTGTCCACAGATATTTTTTTTATTTTCCTGGAATCGTTTTGACCTTTAATCCTTAAGATTATTGTGGCTAAACTGCCCACTGTGTGTTTTTATGCTCTTTATCTACTCCTGGTATGCTGGGCTAAAAGGGCTCCCGGCCTCTGGATGCCCTAAGCCTGACATTCAGGAAACACAGGGGGGTAACTGTATGTGTGTATGCGTGTGTGTGTATGTATGTGTGTCACCAGTGCCCTTGAGGTGGAAACCAGCTCCACAGAGGTAACAGTAGGCTAGAGGTCACACCCATTAGGAAGTAGTTGAAACCATTAGTAAGCTGCTATATCACTTATTGATATATATATATATATATAGATATATATATATAATTTAGGCTTTATATTGTTTCAGTTGAGCAGTTATTAGAAATATATAAAGAAATATCTCTAAAAATTAAATATTCCTGAGGTAACCTTTATTTTCCTTTTTTTTTGGTTTATAATGGATTAGCCCTAAAATCAAGTAGCGAGTTCATTTTTGTAAACATTTCAGAAGACGCTCACCCATTGTTAAGATTAACAGTTTTGAATGATGTTTATCTACTTCAACAAACTGAGTTTAAAATCCAGCTGCGATCGGACATGTGGTTGGTTAAAGGTTCACTCCTTTGATAAATACATCCTGATTGCTGAAGAGCAGACTTTTTTCCGCAGCCATGTGTGGAGTTTGTACACAAAGTTTATGCTTAACAATCAGGATAATGGCGCACACACACACACACACACAAACTAATCTGTAATCCTTGAAGACAATGCCCAACAATATGAACCCTCCGTCTCCCCACTCTATGCCCCCTTGTCCTTAGGCATCTTGTCTCCTGAATTCACATCAGAGAGCTTCACCTGAAAACCCAGCCCATCTCTCACAGTCTTATTCGCCTCTCTTTGCCTCCAAGCCAGGCTGTGAACTTTCAAGGACTGTGAGTAAAACCACGCTGAAAACCTGCAGAGATGAATCCAAAGGCTGCAAACTCTGGAGTTGAAAAGGACGCTGGGTCGTCTGCAGCGCTTCCAGCTAAGAGTTGTTCAGAAAACAGACATGCTCGTGGTTTTAGTGATAGTAAAAGCCATTGACATGGGCTTCGGATGGTTGCGTGAGAAAGTTTGGCTCTCTTTTTGGAAACCCCAAAAGGCACCTGTGTGTGGTAACCGTGACGTGCAACGATAAGGCTCTGTCTGCCACTTATGTGCTGCTCCAATTCACCAAAGTGGGACAGAGTGAAACCACTGTCGCCGCTCTGCTCAGAAGCAGCGGAGGCCATTTTGTCAAGTCGGCAAATGAGTGACAGGAAGTAACGAT